CACCACACACACACACACACACACACACACACACACACACACACAACACACACACACACCACACACAGGGTGACTGATGCAACACTGAGGCATGAAGAAAATATCATACATGACTTTTTCATGCCACGCAGAGAAAACATCATTCTGAGTCTTTCTATCCGTATTGTTTTGCTGAAGACTTTGTGTAGTTCTGTGTGCAAGTCTGGCTTCATCTGTCTGTGAGTGTTGAGTTTGGAAGTCGCTGATAAATGAAGCTTTGAGCATCCAAAGCTTGATTAATAATTTAAAGCAAAGCTGCATTCTCCAATTTCTACAAAGTAAGACTCTTTTAAACCCAAACCAGCTGTAGTTTCTTACATTTATACAATCTGTTCTCTCCCAACGAGAGCCTGAAGGTGACAATATCCCACACTTCATACCTCATCTGAAACTCCACTGCTTCATGCTTGGTAATAATGCAGGTTCGTCTGATTAATTGTGGCTTTTGTTGTTATTCTTTTTGCAGTTTTTTTTTTGTTTTTGGTGTGTCATTGCTTTCATTAGCTCTCTCTGGCACCGCTTCACACCCCAAGGTCATCTTCTGAAAGGTCGTCCAGAAGACAGCGGACGTGTTCTGGAAATCGGCCATGCGTGGCGGTTGGTCTGCCTGGTTCTTACATCCGAGTGGCTTCTACATCTTTCAGTGACACCAAGACGGCTTGGGGGGGGCAGTCAGCTTTCTGGGGACAATATTTTGTCCCTCCTGTTTATTCTTCCTGAGTGCAGCTGCTGGTATCACTCCTATGGAGTTGTTTTTTTTACTACGCTTTGACTTATTTCTCTTCACTTTTGCTCATATTTATCATACGACTATAAACCTCTTGAGAGGCACTACCTCATTTTGCATTTTCTCATCTTCTCCCTTCACCACTCTCTGCTTTTTCTAACAGCTTGTCTGTAATTATGGCATCATCTGCTAAAACAACATGTAGCTGGTTGCTACATTCTGGGGAAAAGAAACAGGCTTCGAAGGATCTTTACAAGTATCCGTCTTCACTTTACTGTTCCACAGTGGAATCAAGTTTGTGTATCTGACAAAAAACAAAGTTGTATACATAAAGTAGCCTGTTAGCAGGCTGGGCGATATGGATCAAACACACACACACTGACTTGCACATGGCTTGGACTGATGCTGCTATCAATATTCATCAAAATTACCATGCGGACTGCCATCCATCTTTACGTACACTGTGTAAACTGCATTATAATTCTTTCTGCACTAATATCATTCTCATCATCATTATCTTTATTATCATAATGCATACCGCTCATTTTTCATTACACTGCATTATACATTGTGCACTAATATTTATAATTTCCAAATCATTTGGTATGCATACTGTGTATACAGCTCTAATATCATTATCATATCAATATCATCATAACATTTACAGCTCATTTTTGCACTTACTACTATGATAATACTGCTAATATTAATAATATGTATCATAATGTGAAACAAATTAGGTTTTTTTTCTTTTATGTCAGTTTCCTGAACTGTGCTTGTTGTGACTGTTCCTCTACATGTCTCTGCAAATTTCCCCTCAAGGACAAATAAAGGCTTTTGAATCTACTCAAATCATCCATAAGGACATGTGTAATTTTATGTCACTATATTGATATATTTTAGATATAGTAATTCTTTCTCTAAAATCAATAAATACCTGTCAAATGAATTACTCGAACCACATTAATGCAAAAATTGTTGAAAACAATTGAATATCCTCATCAATCAGTCATGCTAAATGATTTTCGACAATGCAATGTCTCCACAACAGATTAACATAACCCGATACAATAGAGGGAGGATACAGTGGGGTCTGAAAAATCCCAGTCTCAGACTTTTGGACCACAATTCTCCGGGTATAAACAATAAGGCAAAATCTGCCGTATGGTTTCTTGTTACCAGAGTATTTCTTATAGCTTCTTCCAAACAAAGAAAATAACCTGCAGCATTAGTTAGAGAAGTTAACAGTGAATGTGGACCTCGGCAGTCGCAAATAAATCTTATCTTGTATTCCTCCGCTCTCTCACTGCCCCCCTCCCCCTCCATGATATTTGACATGGCTGCATTCAGCTCACACAAACTGCCCTATTAGCTATTCCGAGCGCATTCTGCACCGCTGCTGAAATTTCAAAAGGGCAAGATCTTCACCCTCATCGGGGCAGCCTGCCTCCTCCGACATGCAGAGCAGAGCTGCTGTGTTGGAGACGACCGGCCTGTTCTTAAAAATCTGCCTGTCGGCTTCCTTTATTTCGAAAACCACAGCTAAAATAGAACAAAGGCGATTTTCTGTGTAACATTAAAGGAAAAGCGCCCTTGTGTTCCTGATACCGTCTCTTCCTGAACAACAATCCCTCCGCTCTCTCTGCATTATTAATATCATTTTGCAGGGATGGAGAACGTGCCAGAATACAAATGAAATCAAGAAAAGCCCATTTCCATTTTTAAATGCATTCAGTGCATGGCGCGGTGTGGCGCAGTGGAATCGGTCACTAAATAGATCTATACAAATCAAACAGCCACAAACCCAAAGACAAAGGAGCACAGTAATTGTTAAAACAGCCTGGTGAATCACATGGGGGCCACTTTTATAAAAGGCAATAATTAAAATGCAGGCTTTTAAGGTAATGTCCAACAATTATCACCAACATATTTTTTATTCCTTTTGTGCTTTTGTTCCTGACAGACCGTTTTGTAACCCGTAAATTATTTTATCTAATTTGCTTCTTCTAATCTTTTATAAAA